GACAGCTATTTTTTAAAAAACAAACATTAGTTTAATATCATTTAGGTCATGATTATGGAATGTGTGTATGTAGAATGGTGCCAGATGTCAAAAATGGGTAGTTAAAAAGCTTATTATTTTTTTAAAAAATGTGTTACTAAGAAAATCTGACTAAATAGTTGCATGATCTAGTGTAGTATATATGAGGTAAAGAAAGCCTGAAACTCATATGCTTCCTCTGCTTCACTTTGGAAAATGTCCAAAGTTAGCCTTTACTGGTAAACCACCCATAATTTGAATTAAATTGAGCAGCCATAGAAATATTTAAAATTAAATAAATAATTTTTACTTTCATTTTAGTTAACTGCTGTTTTTCACGCATTCCTAGCATAAATCTTGTGGTTAAAGTTCAGTTCCAAATAAGTCGTAATCAATCCACTCGATTGCAGCATATTGGTTAAGCAGTTGGACTGGGACTAAGACTCAGGCTCGAAGATCTAACTCAGCCATAGCTCATTAGGTGACTCTGGGCCAGTTATAAGAACATAAACACTGCTCTCCTGGATCAGACCTTTGGTTTATCACATACAGCAGTCTGTACTCACAGTGCCACCTAAATTCATAAGGAAGCACACTTGTCTCTCACCAAGTGGCTTTCAGAGGTAGTCACAGTGCCATTAAGGCATGATCCTCATGACTTCCATCGATATGTTTACCCTTCTTTGAAGCTAGCCAAGGTGGTAACCAACACCATTTCTCATGGTAGCAAATGCCAAAGTTTAATTACAGATGTTAAAAAATATATGAGCTACCTTACCCTAAAGTATCTCACAATATTTTTGTGAGAAAAATTGGAATGCCGAGCATGTCATCTTTTGCTTCTGAAAGAAATAATCTTTTAAAAATCTCTTATCCTAGGTAGTCAGTTTTCCAGGTACATATAATTACAGTAAACTAAAACCAATACTAAAGTTTCTCAGCTGTGAGGGAAGAATGAATGGCAGAAGCATATAAGCATAATATTTTCTACAGTTCATTAATATCCTAGTAAATAAGGTTTACCCTGATGAGAGAAATGCAACAATATGTGTGATTTTAAAAATCTATGTAGTTGGATTTCTAAAAAAAAACAGTTTTAGATGTTTTAGCAACTCAAAGGTAACTATGATATTTAAATTATTTGCCAACTTTTTTGATAAGTTGCTTTAAGAAAAAAACTAAAAGTAAAATAGAAGGTACATCAAGTTAACTTGATTTTAGGAGCACTTTCCAAGACCTAGCATTCTTGTGTTCTACCTTTTATGCCTCCCCTCCCAAAAAAGAGTGGAAGGTATCTGTAAATTACCAAGAAATTGTTAATTACACAGGTTTTACTTTTACGATTTATTAAAATAGTAACAACACATTCTAATCTAAATTCACCTAAGCCTTTTAAATGCTTTTGACATCAAGCATGTCCTTTAATCTATCCCACTGAAAATATAGATTTTGTTCCTTGCCTAAATGTCGTGGTATAAGCACAGTAAAATATTAAAATACAATTTTAATTAGTCCAGTTATTTTTCTGTTTCTTCTATGCCTTGAATTGTAAAGAATACTGCTAGCTGTTGCTAGGTAACACCTAATTGTGATATTAACTGCCAACAGTTGTCAAAAGGTATAGTAAATTCTTTTATCTTCTTAATAAAAATTACTAAAGTGATGTTTGGCTTACTATTAGACCTTTTTTAAAAAAAATCTGCTAAAGTGCTTTCTCTTGGTTTAATATTAGCAACTTTTATTACATTGTGTTGAGAACTATCTTTTGGTACTCATAATGATTAATCATGCATACACATATATAAAATACTGGAATAATAGCATTTATCAAATGTAGTCAGTTAGTTTCTGATTGCCACCTGCCAGCTTGATAATGACAATCAATTCCATCCATATTTGAGTGGTTTTGACATAGTAACTGCTCTTTCCAGAAATCATAACAGCCGTGTAAATACACAGGAAGGACTTTTACATACAAGATATGTTTGTAACAGGCAGTTCTCCTTTCTGACTTTTCTGTCACTTGATTTTATTTGAGAAGATCTTCCAGTTTCTATGACAGTTTTTCAAGGAATAAAATAGGGAAACAAAGGATAGTAATAAACACTTCAAGGTGTTTGTTTTTTTTACTCTTTGGGTCTTTGTCCGAAAAAACTGTTGGGGTAGTATGACAACGGTATCCTAAAACTTTTATTGACAAATCAAGTAGAGGCTGTCATTTGCTTCCAGTTTCTGGCAAAAAATGCTCATGATGTCCATGACTTAACAATTGTTATTTTGGGCTCAATCATAAGTTGATGACTCCCCTGTATAAAAAATATTGGTGAGAAGGAATCTGTAGAGTTAAGCAATACCTATTTTTGTACATATTTTAGTGAACGTAATGTTTGGAAGTAGTACATGAGAATAGATTGGGCTCACATGTTAACATTAAGTATATTTTCAAATGATCTGTGCTAAATTTTACTTTTATACATATTTGAATTCAAATGTTGTCTTCTCACAGCTTGTCATTTGAAGAAATTAAAAAGTGTTAAAAACAAAAATTCAGGTAATTTAATAAGTGTTACTTATATATTGGCATAAATATTTGTGGATTGAGAAGGAGGAGGCTTGCTATATTTTTTGCTTTGCACTTTAAATATAAATAAATAAATACAATAAAAACATTGGAACATTGTTGAAGTAACTAAAGGAAAGAAATAAAGATTATTCTTTTATAAATTGTATTAAATGTAATACCAAGGTGTGAGACTCACTGTCTGTTGTTTCCTGCCAATGCAAAGTGACCACAAATTGTAATCAGTAAAGACAATGTATTATGACTTGCTAAACGCTCCCCAGGAGACAGGAACCTTTGCTCTGGGCAAAACAACTATCAGTAAGAAAGGAACATCCGCCCAATGTGAAAATTACAAGTAAACTAACTGAGTGCTTGTTTCTATTTGTCTGTAATTTCATAATATATTTGGGGTAGTCTTCTTTATAAGGTCTGATACATATCTGCCATAGACCCTGAAAAATCACTGTTAATAAGGATTAATAATACCGGGCCAATCTTGCATAGACCATTCTTAAGAAATACTGCTTTGTACTGTACTACCATGTTTCTCAGAAAATAAGACCAAGTCTTGTTTTCTTTTAGACTTGAAATAAGCACTTGGGCTTATTTTCGAGGCGGTCTTACTTTTCTTGAGATGCAGCAGGCCAGATTCGGTGAGCTGGACACACCGTGGATGCACCGTCGCCTCCATTCTGAACCTTCAGCGTTTGGAATGGAGGACTTTTGGTGAATGGGAGGAAAATGGGAAGGGGGATTTTCCTGCCTGCCATCCTTCCCTCAATCTGTGCTGAGCTTGAGGAATGGATGACAGGCAGGAAAATCCCAACAAGTGGCCCAACAAGCAAAAGTGCTGCGCCCAGAAAGAGAAGGGCAAAAGCGATATTTGTGCTTCCCCAAGGGGCCAGCGGGCTGCAGCTGCAGACAGACAGTTACACCCCCCCCCCCCATGCCCGCGCTGCCACTTGAGCTGGCCATGTCCATTCCCCCCGGACTTATTTTTGGGGTAGGGGTAATATTAGGCCCACCCCCCCAAAAAAAAATTAGGATGGGCTTATTATTGGTGTAGGTGGTGTTTTCGGAGAAACATGATAGTAGTAATGATCATTACAGTAAGTGAAGGTCAGACTGCATCATCAGTGTAAAGTTGGCAACTGGTGAAAAATCAGTTTTTCCATAAGACAATGATGCTTGTATGATAGCTTCTGTTACTTTACTTACACTCAATTCATTCTTATAAACAGAGCAAGAATGTGGTACATCTTATTTGTTTAAATCTTAAATATCTTCAAATCAGTCAAGCTCTGAAAATAGCTGATCATACATTCCATGTATTTATTAAAACATATATATTTCATTGTTTGATTTCAACCATTCAGTCTTTTGAAAATCTGAAACTCAGTTGCAAAACTTTGGTATAAGTGGTTGTTTCCTGGCTACTGCATTTTTGCAAATACAGCAGCGTTGTGTGATAAAATAACTGTAGGGTGCCACATAGATGGGACCTCTAATACAGTTTAAAAGCCTATTATTTTTCCCCCTGAGTGCTCTTTGTGCTCATTCCAAATCAGATTGTGAGCAAATTGTTGCCTTAATTTGATATGGAGGCCCTGATGCAGATTTTACTGTAGGCAACTTCCTAAATTATATCTGATTTACCTATGCAGTTTTATTTATTTTTTATTGTGGCTTTATTCTATCTTATCTATATTTTTCAGACCAGGAATGTTCCAAAAATCTAAATTTATGGTAAAAATATACTTCTTCCCCCAAATGTCCTTATTCTAGTTTCTGATGTCATATATCTATCAAGGGCATTTCCTGTTCTGCTACTTATAAGTCTTTATATGATATATCTGATCTGACAATCCACACCGAAATTATTAGCTTATTTATAGTTTGTTTGGACTGGACACTTGCATTTAGTAGTGTATTAATATTCTACATGTGTTTACATTTCATGAAGGTTAGAACAGCTTATCTCTTTTTTTAAGAGTAGAAGTTGTCCTAGACTAAAATAAAATAGTATCTAGTTCAGGGCCAGATCAATAGTTTATATAATTCTGTTTAAAATTGTCTCAAAGCATATGAGAATGTAAAATGATGTTTTAAAATTAAACTTAATGCATGCTTTACTGTTAATGGTTTTTAAAGAAATAATACGTAAGTTAAACATGTTGTTTCTAATTTCCCTTTCTTAAATGAGTGTAGGTAGACAATATGTTCTTTTTTCTTTTTGCAACTGAACATGATTGATAAATATTTTTTTATAAAGAGATAATTCTGCTATTCAAAAGATAAATGTTATTTTCTTAAAACTGATGTCCAAATTTATAAAAATGTGTAAAAAGTAAGATTAGACAATTTGCAAATCACCAGATATAAATGTTTCTTTATACCATTTTCCCTTTTTAAACTTTAGCACATCCAGTCCACCCATTTGGCCAGGAAGCACCTTTATCAAGAGAAATGGAGCTCTTCTGCAAGGTAGGCCAAAGATTCTTTGCTACGATAATTGCCACAACTTGCACATTGTTTCAGGAGAAAAGCTTATTATAGTGCTTTTATCCTTTTCCAGTATCTACATTCATATGTAGTATACTCATGAGCTCAATTTGTTTTACGATGTAATACTTTAATATGCTATGAATGCATCTCTTTTCCTCCATCCATGGTTCACACAGCATGATACCTTTCAACTTGTATTGATGAATAATATAGTTTTGCTTCCACATGTATCAGTGGAAAAATACTTCTAGCCGTAGTCGTGTGACAGCTGTATCTCAGAGGGTGATGTTCAGTGGTTGATATGCAAGACACAGTCACTTTTTCTATTACAGTATAATTATGAGTATTTTTTTCCAGTTCAGTACTGGAGACAAGAATTGTTCAGTAGTGTAATGAATGCTTGCAAGGCATAATTGTTCTCCTTATATTTGTTGGTTTTCATTTTTCCATTTGAATGATATTGACTAGTTATTATGGAGCTGAACTTGGAAATTACATCGGATAGAATATGAAAGAGTTTTAATTTTTTTTATTGTTGCATGCCAGTTTTGAATCTTTGAAGTTAATGTGATCGAAATAATCTTATTTGAATTTAATTGTCAGTGATGGAAATTGATATTTTGTCTAATTTTGAATGTTTATTTAAGAGGAAATCTATTTATCTTTTGATGACTCTTGGGGAGGTAGTAAGTATCCCGAATCTCTCATCCAGTTACTACTGCTTCATTCATGTTCAGAACAGAGTAAGACTAATTTTCTACATCCTTGAATATATTTTTAATTTCTGCTTTAATCATGTTGGTTAAAAATGTCTCTGTGTCATTTTTAGAGGTTTGTAACTTTAGATCGCAAAATGCATCATAAGAACCATATTAGATGACTGAATGGACATCAAACTGAAAATTGGTATCTAATCTACCACTTACCTAAATTGTGCTCAGAACAGGAATAAAAGACACCAACTATTTCAATAATTATTATTGTTAACATATAATGAAAACATACTGTTACTACTTGAAGAGATATTAATAATTCTAATATCTAGGTCCTGGCAGAGAAAGACATCTTATACTTCAAACTTTTCAGATTTACTAAGACTGCAATCCTCTACATGCTTATTTGGGAATATATTAATTTTACCCAGAGGAGGTCTGGATAAGATTATGATTTATGTGTGCATTGTTCATGTGTCCTTGCATTATCATTCATGTTTTTCATCTAGAACATAGGCTTCTGTGAATATAGAACAACATGGAAAGAACTCATAGATGAAAACAAGAGAAAAAGCTAAAATATAAAGATAATGTAATGAAGTTTCCATGTTGATTACATAGCTGCCATCAAACATGAGGATTTTAATTAACAAACAGGTTGTAACACATTGTCATCATAACCATCAACATCACAAAATGTTTATTCGACTGGTTCCTTTTAAATTGGTTTTGACTGCTCCAAATAATCTATAGCTTCACTATTTTAATTGTAGAAACTCCACTGTATACGCAATTAGCTTTTTATGACCTTGTGCAATTATTATATGTGAAAGTAATAATAAATGTTCTTGGTTACAGTGTAACTTGGTTCTATAATTCTCATGTTTAATTGAAACTTTTCACCAAATTCTTTGGGAGTATAATTGGTTCCTTTCTAGCTACTCCCTCCCTCCCCCATCCAACTCATAGAAATACCTTTCACTCCTGTTTTTATAGCAGATGTAGAGTGCTTTAATTTGTTGATAATGAATTATTAATTGTGCAAACATGCTCAAGGAGAAATAAATTGTACACAAAACTGTACAGTCCTAGTAATCCTTGAATGATTTCAACCCAAATAATGCTAACTTTTCTGTGTAACTGGATACTTTTAATTTCTGGAGTGTAATATTTTAGTGTTGTCATAATGTCATTTGCTAAATAGAACACAAGCTGGGTTTTTTTAATCAAACATGGTACATTAACAAAATGCTCAAGATTTTGAAATTGTGTCTTCAACAATACAAGCAATGAGAACTTCCTGTTATAAAAGCTAGATTCAGACGAGACAAAGAATCCTAAGATCAAATTGCTAAAATCTGATAGTTTGTAGAAAAGACTAAGGTGTTAAAAAAAATTCTATTTTTGCTTTATTAAATATATTAAGTCTTTTAACTGTAGAAAACAATAAACCATGGAGACTCCTTAAAAACATAGGTACAATGGATTGCCTGAATATCCAGGTATATCGGACATTCTGAATTTATATGGAGTCAAAATGCAACAGCTAGAATAGAATTTGGAACAAATTTCAAATAGAATTAACTAGTTGAAAATTGGAAAAAGATTGTACCAAGGTAATTGGGAGGAGGTGTGTATCTGCCTGTTTGTAGTCTGAAAGGTTTTTTTTTTTTTTTTTACTATGAGACTTATATGCAGATTATTTCAGGAGAAATGCTGAACTATAAAAAATAGAAATTGAAATTGTTAGGAGAAACATCAGCTGGTGATGCCATCATGGTTTTTCTTCAGTTCTAATTTATCAAAATGAAAGCTGGATATTCAGAAAAACTGAATGAAAGGTGAAATTGGTGCCCCTAAAATGGGGTGCTAGAGATAATTGAGAATTCCTTTGCCTATAAGAACAAGTCACTCAAACTAGGTGAAAGTGAAACAAGACTGCTCATTGCAGATCCTAATAATAATGTTTTAATATTTTGGACAGATAATGCAAAGGCAAATGAAAAAGACTCCGATGGTTGGAAAAATCAAAGAAAATTTAAAAAAGAAGCTGACAGAGAACAAGGTAGCTAGGTACTGTCCTTGATAATGTAAGCATAGCTTGAGCTTGAGAATGCAAAGAAGCAATTACTAAAGGCAGTTCTAGTTAAATTATTGTCCGTTGGGTCATGAAAAGTTAGAAGTGGCTGATGAACGAGTAAATTTATGGTGGTGGCCTTTAGCATAGCTCATTTCACAGCTTTGCTCTTCCCCTAGTTTTTATATTGATCTATATGGCTGCCCATCTTAAAACACAATTTTCCAGAACGCTGCTACTACACTCCAGCATTGGGAAAATCCTCTTCTCTGACAGCAACTGAGAGAACTTTTTTTCTACTTATCTCCCACTCTGTGCTCTCTCCACGCCCCCTTTTGCACCCGAATCCCCAGTCTTTCTCTCAGTTGCTGACACACTGGGAGGATTTTCTCTGTGCTCTGAGTGTTGCGTTAGGCCTTTTGGTTATTTTTGATTAGCCCCCTTTTTATTTTTACTTCTCCTTTTTCGGTTGAGTTAGTTTTTTTTTATTCCTGGAGGCAATCAGCTGCTCGCCGGTTTCGTGCCCAGGGAACTGGGTCGTGCCGGCTTTCGCGCTTCTGCGCCTGCTACTGCCGGCTTCTGTCCCTGCGGGGCGGATCCGGTAAGGTATTTCTAGCGCCGGGTAGATCGGGGCTGAGCGGATCGATCCCCGACTCCCGTGTGGAACAGCGAGCCGGAACGGAGGTCTTTCAAGTGCGGCTACCGGCTCGCTGTGTTTAGTGGCGTGATTCTCCAGCGGCCGTCCCGTCAGGCTTCTGCGGGCGGCGCTGTGACTGGCGGCGTCTCTCTACGGCCTCGAGAATTCAGCCGTAAGTGTTTGCTGGGGGGGGTGGCGTGGCCGTCGGGGCTCGCTACCCTCCCGTCGTACCCAAGCCGCCCGGTTTCCAGCCCTGATTGGCGTCCGCGTGTGAGCGGCGCCAAGGGGAAAGCGCTCCGCCATCCTTCAAAGCTCGGGCGGGCCGCCATTTTACAACTACGCCACCAACTTGCGGCCGCCATTTTGAACCATTAGGGCGGCCGCCATTTTGAAATCTCGTGGCAGCGCGGACCCTAATTAGAGGGCCGCAGCCTTACTCCAAGGTCTGGCTGACTGAGTCTCTGTCCCCTACTGGGCATTGACTCGGAGGAGAAAAAAGAGGGGGGGGAGCATTGCCAGTTTATCGCTCACCCCTTTGTTTGCAGCCTCTAGTGCACGGCTTTCCCTCTACCTGGGCAGAGACAGGGGTGCCCTTGTACTTAGCGTGGCAGAAGTGCCAGCTCTGCTTGTTGGGGCATTGTGCATTGCCCAGGGCAGTAGCCAGAATATTAATTCATCTGTCTTTAATCAATTAAGCAATCACTCAATTAATTATTCTCAAGCAGATATCTATTAATTACGCAATCAAAGCAGCCAGTCATTCATTCAACCAATTAATTAATCAAACAAGCATTCATCCAATCAATTAATCAATTAATCAAGCAAACTGATTTCTGTCAATCAATCAATCATTATTTATTATTATTACAACTTTGTCTGTCAATCAACTGTTTAATAATTCTATTCTGCTTGGGGCATTCTCACCATGGCGGACTGCTCGTTCTCCTCAGACAGTGATCAGGAGGTCAGTCCTGTCAGTTCTAAGTCCCGCAAGAAACAATCGGGCAAACGCTCTGCGTCTGGCGGTCACAAGTCCCGCCACTCTAAGACCTCCTCTGCCGCTGAAAAGGATGCTCTCAGGCGTCATAAGGCTTTGGAGAAACGATGCGAGAAGGCCAAGCAGGCGTCAGCTTCTTTAGTCCGTGATGATGCGGGATCCGCCCAACAGTCTGTTCCTGTTCCTGACCTTTCGGAGCGGAGAGCGGTCCAATCCGGTTCTTTGGTTTGGCAGAAGGGCGTGTCCCAGTCGATGCCTGATGTTTCCTCAGCGGGGTTGGAGGCCTTTCCGCCACCTCGGCGCCAACCTTCGGCCACTTTCACGCCTACAGCAGCGGGACTCCGTGAGGTGGACAATCCTCCGCCTCCGTCTCAGTTCGATTTCCAGACGATGTTATCAACAGCGTTGGCCTCTATTATGGCGGCCGGAGCGCAGACAGCGGCCCGGACATCGGCGGCGGGGACTTCAAGCACATTGGCCTCTTCAAGCTCTCGCAGGGCTTGATCCCCCTCGCCTCGTGAGTCTGTTTCGTCTGAGGACTCGTGCCATGACGAG